AGGGGATAGCATTGAGAGGATTGTTCATTATTGACAAGGAAGGGGTCATCCAACATTCTACCATCAACAACCTCGGAATTGGTAGAAGTGTTGACGAGACAAAGAGAACACTCCAGGTAATTACATATCCAATCTGCACCACATAAGGACTGACCATATTTTAGTTTAATTGTTTTATTCTCTCTCCGTTTTACCCTGCTATCCTTAAATGATAAGTTTGACCCTGTTTATTCAATGGACTCGCAGGCTTTGCAGTATGTGCAGGAGAACCCAGATGAAGTTTGCCCTGCTGGGTGGAAGCCTGGTGAGAAGTCCATGAAACCAGACCCCAAGGGTAGCAAAGAGTACTTTGCTGCTGTGTAGAATGGCTAATAGTAAATTGCTATGAGTATCAACTACTCGTCTGTATCATTTGGGATGTAAAAGGATTTTGTTTCATGTAATTCTAGCCATTTTAAATTATGAGGCCTTTGGGCTTAGACTCGTAATCACACGATAAAAATAAAAATTATGAGGTCCAAAAGTGTGTGATTACAGAAGCATGCTTGCGGACCTTGATTTTGGAGTGAATTATGAATTGATGTATTATCTGTATATCATGTATGTGTATGAATAATACTTTCATTTATAATGAAACTTTAAGCTGTTGCTGCTCTGTGATTTAATTAAGCAATGAGCTATTTCACCTAAAGAAATACTAAACTAATTTTAGGTGCATTTAGAATGCTGCTACTGCTTTCCGTTCTGATGTAATGAGTAATGTGATTCGGTTCAGTCACCTACTTACACACCTTGATCTAAAATAAAATTGATTGATAAGATGATTTGTAATTATCTCAAATCTGCAGTTGAGAATAAAGTATGATATGGGTCATTGGTTTTAAATTGTTGAGTCATATTTATGTTATAAAACTGATATAAGATGTGATGAGTTCTACATTGACCCGAGTCATATTTGGGTTAGAGAAGTGATATTTCAACATTTAAAATTTGAAATAAGTTTTTGCTGGTTGGAATCCATTGAAATTAGGCTCTTTGATTTCCCAATGATCTCAAAAACATCCTATTAATTATAAATTACTTGAACTCGAGATTAATTTTAATCTCTGCTTAAGGATAATAATGGACAGGTTTGTGCAGGGTTCTATAGTACCCATTTCCATACCTGCAATTTAAAAAAATCTCCGTATTCGTGTCCATGCCCTCTTGGACGTCAGAGTTAGCATCTGTTATCCGCATTCCTATTAAAAAATAAATAGATCAATTAGACCAACTCCAATGAGAATTGTTAAAGTGGGTTTGCTAGCATGACACTCATATTTGCTGTTTCCAACATTGCCATGCTCTTCAACGACATATAATTATGCAACGTTCTTCAACGGCTTCCATATTAAAATATTGATTTTATAATATGAAAACTCAACGGCTAGTTACTTTTTTTTTTCCTTTTTCCAACTTAATTTCTTTTTGTTATAAATATAGCTTTAATCCAAAAAATTTACCAACACAAATTTTCTCTCACTTTTATTTTTTCTTGAATTTGAAATTTCTCTCTCAAAATTTCATCAATTTTCTTTTAAACTTTTAATTTTTTCCAACAATTATTTAGGCTAAATGGATCCTAATCATTTTCATTATCATCCAGCTATGTTCAATTACATGCAAAATTTACAAAATCCTAATCCTCAAAATTCTCAAATTCCAACGGTGCCAACAAACCCCGCCATTTTTTTTCCGTCACTAAACAATCCAAATATGTATCCTAGACCTCAAATGAATTCTAATAGTATGGAATTCTCTACTCAAGTTCCACCATTTTCTATTCAAGTTGGTACTAAAAAAGAAGAAAGAGTTGCTGTTAAAAAAATCTCGAGAGCAATTTACAAGGGATGAGGATTTACGACTTATCCAATCATGGTTCAATATTTCAAATGATCCAATTGTGGGAGTTGATCAAAAGTCTGAGAGTTTTTGGTTAAGAATCAATGCTAGTTATAACCAATATCATGGGCAATCGCGGAAAAAGTTAGGGGGACAATTAAAATGTCGATGACATAGAATAAATGGCATGGGTCAAAAATTTGTTGGGTGTTACAAAATTGCTCTTAAAGGAAAGAAAAGTGGGACATCAGAGACCGATGTCATGGCAGATGCACATGCTATTTTTACTCAGGATTAAGGTACAACATTCAATCTTGAGTACGCATGGCGATTGTTAAAAGATGAAGCTAAATGACGCATCGTCGAAGAATCGATTGGAAGTTCTTCAAAAATAACAAAGACTTCTGCTAGTGAGCCATCATCAGAGAACCCAGATACACCTTCAAGTTATGAGTTTAACTCATCATCACCAATGAACCGTCCAATGGGACAAAAAGCAGCAAAAAGGAAGGGTAAGACAAAGAAAATTTCAAATGCAACGCAAGATGCAAAGAATAAAAGAGCAATAACAATGGAAAGACTCGCGCAAGCTAAGGAGGACGAGATACAATTAAGGGTAGTGCAAATGATGATGAAAGACACTTCTACTATGAACGATAGTTAACGAGATATTCATGAAAAATATTGTAATAAGATGAAAAAAATGGAATGTAGTTAGTATCACTTATGTAAAATGGTCATTAGTACCACTTTAATTTATCAACACCTATGTAAAATGGTCATTAGAGCCACTTTAATTTAGCCGTTATTAAAACTAGCACTTTAATTTAAACTAGCCATTATTCAAACCATTATATATACTACCACTTATGTCATTGTTCTCTCATTCTCATCTTATTCTTCTCATTTTTCTCTCATTCTTTACCCACTAAATGGATTCAGACAATTCAGATAATTATGATCAAGAATTTTGGGAGTTGGTTGAAGAAGAATTTATGGACGACAGTGATGAAGAACAACAACTTCAGAATGAACGTCGATATGAAAGTTCCTCTAAGTCAAAGAGAAGAACAATGGTAGATCGAGGTCGTGAAGAAAGGCACAATCGATTATTCAATGACTACTTCTCGGGAAACCCAATATACACAGATGTTCAATTTCGAAGAAGGTTCAGAATGCATAGGCATGTATTTCTTCGAATTGTAGATGCCCTTGGAAATCATGATGAATATTTCCAAATGAGGGTCGACGCAACTAGTAAAATGGATCTTTCACCATTGCAGAAATGTACATCTGCTATTCGTATGCTGGCGTATGGGTCTCCTGCTGACCTTGTAGACGAATATGTTCGAATCGGTGAAAGCACTTCAATTGAGTGCTTACAAAGATTTGTTAAGGGCGTGAATGTTGTATTTGGGGCAGAGTATTTGAGAAAGCCTAACAACACTAATGTTGAACATCTTTTACAAATGGGAGAGTCACGTGGCTTTCCAGGTATGTTAGGTTCCATCGCTTGTATGTATTAGGTATGAAAAAATTGTCCTGTTGCATGGAAAGGACAATTTTGTCGAGGTGATCATGGTAAGCCCATAATCATGCTTGAAGCAGTGGCATCACAAGATTTATGGATTTGTCATGTTTTTTTTGGTATTGCAGGTTCAAACAATGACATTAATGTGCTAAACCAATCCAACGTGTTTAACGATATTTTGGAAGGACGTGCTCCCAATGTGCAATATACAATCAATGGGACACCATATAATATGGGGTATTATTTAGCAGATGGTATATATCCCGAGTGGGCTACATTTGTCAAGACCATTTCAATGCCACAAGGAGAAAAGAAAAAATTAATTTCTCAACATCAAGAATCGACTAGAAAAGATGTGGAGCGAGCATTTGGAGTGCTTCAGTCTCGATTTGCAATTATACATGGCCCAACACGTGTCGGACACATGGACACTCTCAAGCATACCATATATGCCTGCATCATATTGCACAACATGATTGTGGAAGACGAACGACATACATATGGAGGTAATTTTGATTACTCTTATGATAATGTGGATATCAATAACTCAACAATTGAAACATTTAGCGGTCCTCATCCAAATCTTGCAACAAGACTACAAGTATTCGTGAAAAACAAGTTTATCGTAAACTTCAAGGAGATCTAGTCGAATATATTTGGAAACGTTATGGATATGAAGATGATGAAATTTAAGTTTGATTAATTATGTGATGTTATTTATTTTTACTGTTTTTAATTATATATCATGTATTTGAGATTAATTTTAATTATCATTTTAAATTAAGTTTAATTTGAATTTTATTTATTTTATTTTATATCAATTTTTATTTATTTATTTAATATAAAATTTAATATAAATAAAATATTAATATAGAAAATAAAGTTGTGGGATCCAATATGAGTTCTTCAGAATTGCACCATTGGAGTGAAAAATTAATTGAGTTGCTTCAAGTTGACGTGACTTAATAGATCCCACAAAGAACCCAAAAATGGGTTCACGGTTGGAGATACTCTTATAAAATATCATTTTATTTTAAGTTTTTAAAAATATTAAAAAAATTTTAAAAAATTTATTGTTAAAATAAACAAACACTAACATTATATATTTAAAATTGATAGACGTGCATTTTCATATAATAATATAAATTAAAAAATATACATATAAATTAAAATACTTAAATATATATTATACGAGTATGAGACAAGGTGGATATTAAGGTGCTCACACCTGCACCTATATCCACTTATTTTTATGGATAATTACTCGAGTTTGTGCCCATGCCCATTTTTATAGATTTTTATCTTACACATCGTGAATAATTTTTCAATTGCCTATTATTAAACTATTTTTGTGAGCCCATTTGTTGTAGTTTTTGAGAAAAAAAAATCAATTTCTTAAAAACTAAATTATTTTAAATGTATTTATAAGCTGAGTCAGACATTTGTACTTTTGTTTAAGGGAGTGCCTGAGGGTGTTCATTATCCATATCCGATACTCAACACACACTCTTTGCCTGTGTTGCGTCCTCTCTGAAACTCTTTAGAAATTCAGGCAACTGTCCTTGAAAGGGAAAATTAGGCTCAGAGTATGTCCCTTTCCCAGAAGGCCCTGTCACTGTCTTGTATTTTTCACAGTTCACCGAAACTATCCTCACCCACTCCATCCTACACCATCAGTTACCCTACGCAAAAGGGATCATTAATAACAACTCAAATCCAAAAACTCAACCCTCCATTTCTCACTAGTGGTAAACAGCGATGGAAGGTGAAGCCTCTATCAGCATCTCTTTCGTTTCCACAGCCACTTGACCTCACAGAAGACAACGTGAGACAGGCTTTGGTCGATGCTCGAGCTGAACTGGGCCAACTCTTTGACACTTCTGTTGGCATGACAGGTATGTTGAGAATTAAACACCAAGAATATGGTGTTACATTACATTAAATATCTCGAACTTTTGTTTCAGGTGTAGTTGAATTGGTGGAGTTGGATGGACCTTACGTGACTATTAGCCTCAAGGGTAGGTTTTGGCATAAACGTTCAACCGTTCTCGCCAGAGTCGCCAATTATCTCAAACAGAGGATTCCTGTAAGTCTCTTTTCTCTTCTTAAGAGAATTTAGATTTTAAGAGGATTGATTTTGTCTTCTAAGTCGAGTAGCGGCGCAACTTATTGTCTGTTTGCTTTCTATTTTTTATAATCTTTGTTATAGGCTACTAAAAGATGTTATATTTATATCCGATTTTTCAATCAAAACTTCACCATTACAAAACTTGTTCCACTTTTATGTGTTGGTTTCAGGAGATTTTAGAGGTTGAAATAGAAAATGAGAAACAATTGGATGATAGTCCTGCCAATTTCTAAGGTAACTCTTTAGTTTTTGTTTCATTTTTCTTTTTATTTCTAAAATATCAATTGCGGTTGTGCAAATGCACATCTAACTTTGGTCCATGAACATGTAGAGAGACGATGACGGATAAGTCCTTCTCAACTTGAAAAGCTTGGATTTGAGGATGCTCACTATTTTGCATTCTTATGTTGTTTTCCACAGATTCTTCGAGCTTCTTAGTACTATAAATGGTAGAGAATGCTCTGAATCTGTATTATTGTTCTCCATTTCAAGCACACATGTTGATATGTAAATGTTTCAGAATATTTAAGATCTTCATAGATTGTTTATTATCATTAAAACATCACTTGAGAGATTTCTTGCAGCAACTTTAACATGACATTTCATGATATTTTTAAGCACATATTGTGTACATTTGAGTTACTAGGTCATAGTTTTGGTCTCATATTTTCCAAATATATATCTATGTTTCTATTTCTTCTAAAATTTGTAATGAAACTGTCGACGAAGCTAAGTTATTCTGATAGGATTTAGATTTTCCTTTTTCCCTTCATACCAATGATTCGGGGTTTCATCCCTCAATTTTGTGCTTTCCTTCACTATTTTGTTTCAGTTTGATCAAGTTTCTGGATGCCCCTGAGTCCTCTTCATACCTCTCATAGTTATGTTATGAAAGGATGTACAAATTTAAAAACCAATTTATGAAACATTGTTATGAAAAGATGGAAGTTTGAAAACCGATTCATCAAGTATTTTATTATGAAAAGATGTACGAGTTTAAAAAACACTTATGAAGCATTGCTATCTATTAGAAACATTTTGAAAATGAAAAAAATGCATTGTTTCTGGTTGATATTCAAATATTAAAATGTGGTAATTAAATTTCATTTCAAAAATGTTTAAAAGTTTAAAATTTAAAAATTGGTATTCGGATATTATATATGGTATTCGAATACCACTCTTTTAAAAGTGAAAATTTTATAATTTTTTCAACTTGTATTCGAATACTATATATGATATTTGAATACCATCAACACTGGTATTCAAATATCATATATGTTATTCGATCAACAGTGGTATTCAAATATCATATATGTTATTCGAATACCATTAAACCAATTTTGCTTATGTTTGAGAAATAATCCAATACTGGTATATGATGTTTGAATATCGACAATTTGACTAAAAAATTATTTTTTAAAGAGTTCTTTCATGCCTTTGAATTCAATAGGTTTATGAGGATTATAGATGAAGTTTGATACATATTTATGAGCATTTAATGTGATATAATGTGAATTGTAATGTACCTATGATTATTTACTTGGTTCTTTCACTTGGTTATCTTCATTATTGATAATCCTTTGACATCCCACTTTTATTATATATCTTCTTTGATAAGTTTTTGTGGTCATCAAAACTAAAACAAGATAGATGATGAATATCTTCTAAACAATCTCTCACTTTTAGATAATGACAAAATATATTGATGAAAAGTTTTTGTTTGACACTTTATACTCACCCTATCATGTATATCTCCCCCTCTATTTTGCAATTCATGCTTTGACTTTGATATCTTAAAAATTAGCAAAAACAACCATCTATTCTCTCCCTTTTTGACATTATCAAAAAGAAAAATAGTAAAAGTAATATAGGGAAAACATACATCATACATTAAAATAATTATCTTCTTCACAATAATTTGACGACAATATTGGTATCAATGTTGATACTCTTTTAAAGCGATTTTGTTGATACCAATGAGATGCTCTTGGAAAGTGCCAAGATTTTCAATTTATCTTCAACCAAATGAAACTTTAATCTTACTATACCATATGATCTTATTTTATCTTGAACAATCAATCTTAATATTACAAATTTAGCACATGGTCTCCAAGGACACCTACAAAATAGAATAAATTTTCTTTCTTTGGGTACTATTGGGGTAGTTTCTTTCTCAGCCCATACATCCCATACACAATTTTCATTCGGTATACTAAGTTTTTAAAATAAGATGCATTGGTGGTATGACCTTTTAAATTAAATTAATGTTTAATATCATTTTTGGTCCTGTATGTTAACCTCGAGGTTCATTTTGATCCCTTAACTTTAAAAGTACCATATTGATCCCTTAGTTTTTTAAAACGTACCATGTTAGTCCTTTTAGTCTAATTATTAATGAATTTAATGAGAAAATTATGAATTTTTCTGTCACTAATTAGACTAAAAGGACTAACATGATATGTTTTGAAGAGTTACGAGACCAATATGATTTTTTTTTAAGATAAAGGGGTCAAAATGAATCCCGATGTTAATATACGTGATCAAAAATGGTATTAAACCTTACATTAACAAAAATGTGTATCTTGTTAGACATCTTTTTATGATTATAGTAATTCTTATTATATGCCTTTCTAGGATTCACATTATGACATTCTTTTATAAATTGAAATTTGTTACATGTATTGTTAGATTTGACAAAGATAATCTTTTTGATTTGTACTTGTCAAAAAATACATGTGTGTTTGTTCCTCTTGCAAGGGTATGGAGACTCAAAGGCCTTTATAGGTATATTAGATTGTATGGTGATTAGGGTTTTCTCATTTCGGTGAGAAGGCCTGTACAATTGGTTATATGGTGGTTTTAGGACTCCTGCTAACGTGAGGTGAGAGGCTCTATACATAGTTGTCATACCCTAATTTTTACCCCTAAGATCCCACCTCATTTGCATCTTCACAATGCATCAAGATCCCACCAAGTATCTTTCTTTGTATCTCTTATTTGTGTTTATATGTTTTATATGTTTTATATGTTACTAACCTCTAATCAAAATATAAAAAAATATGCTTTGCCCCTTTTGTTTCTTTGCAAGGTAGGGTTTTGTATCAACAACATCAAGCATAATTCCTCAGCTAGGATTTTGGTCCCTCAAGTCAAAGTATGGTCAATCATTGTTTCCCAACGGCTATCTCATCAAGTCATGGCCTCTAATCTCAAAGTATAAGACCTCAAGCATCATTGAATCTCATTTTGACCAAGGATATCTCAAGACTTAGTAACTTGTTCCTTAAAAAAAGTCAAAGGTTCATGTGTTTATTTCCATGCTTTCATCAACAAGTTACCTTAATCTTTGGTCAACTTAATCAAATGATATTCAAGGGAACATCATTTTGAATCCATATGATCATCAATGTGCTTTGAAGTGCAAGAAAAGACCCAAGGATACAAGTTTGTTCATGGAAGTCTGGCAAAAAAGTCAACATTTTAAGCCTAAGTTCAAGACTTCACAACTTCTTCATACTTCAATGTTTTTGAATGAGTTTTTAAGAAAATGAATCATCTCAACATCCTCTTAAATTTCTCTTTACATGACAAGAGACAATTTTTCTTGGATGATCATTAAAATTTTGAAGACATTATAGGTCATTTGTGGATTTAGTGAAAATTTGACCTACTTTCAAGTGACTTTTTCTCAACTTTCAAGAATCATAACTTAGTCAACTTTAAACATTTGAGGCTGATTCTTTTTACACAATATCATTTGTGATGCTCTCTAAAAGTTTACTTCAAAGGTTAAAAGCTAATTGATACATTATAGGTCATTTTCAGGCATTTTAAACTTAGAATTTTTGTAACCTCATTGCCAGATTTTTGTACCAACTTCAATATGCCATAACTTTTACCACAAATATCCAAATGCAACCTTTATTGACACATTATGATCTTTTTTGTGATGTTAACAAGTTTCAGAAAGAATGAAATAAAAAAGCCTCGTGTACAAGCCAAATTACCACGCTTTTTAATCTAAACATGTTTAATCAAGTCTCCAAAAGTTAGATGACTCATAAAATACAAGTTTAAGTGGAGTTTTGGTGCACATGAAGTCACACTTTTTTCACCCATGATGCAAACTTGATTTCACACGAATTCTGATCAAAACTTCACATGTGTGAGCTAATTCACTCCTCCTATAAATAGAGCACCTCACTCATTCATTTTCCAGCTTTTGATATCCACAAAACCTTTGTTCAGACTTATAAATTTTTTCTCAAAGTGTTGATATCGTGAAACATTTCCAAGCCATTTATGAGCAAACTCTTGATTCATACAGCTTCCTTGATACCTCCTGAAGTTATTCCAATCATTGAAAGCTTCTGAATCATCCTCACCAAATCCAGTTTTAGAGAAATTTCATCACACTTTCGTTCAGGTAGTTAGAAGCATTCATTTGCTTCAAACAAGTTACCACGAAGTAGTCCATCACTCTTTGATGCTTTCCTCTAACATATCTGGTGTTGATTGACTGTGTTCATCATTTAATTTCATTTTTCGTGTTTTTATTTTTACTCAGATTTCTATAAAATTCTCCATACTCAGTTTAGATAAATGAATTTTGAGCATGAAGTTGAATTCGTGATGAGACAACAATTGTAATGATGGTGGTCTCGTGTCCTTACCATTTGGCAAACTCCGGTGAGCAACTCACCGGAGAAGATGACCGGAGGATAATAATGATGACCTGAGTTTGTTTAGTTTAAATATAATAAGATGCGTTATTTCATTTAAAGACCACGGTGCTCGCTCTCATATGCACCTTTGGATGCACATACATTGACCATTTGATTTGGATCTGATGGTTGTTATATTTTGTGGATCTGATGCGCTATTTTCATTAAGGTCCATGCGCCATCAGCTGAGAAGTGTTGGATCTGCCACGTCAATTAATGAGGCCATATCCAACGCTTGTGGTTTTTTCTCAGTTTATTTCTTTTTCTTTTTTCTTTTTAATTTGTTTTATCTTCAAAAACTCATAATAATTCATTTTTTATCCAAATATTCTGAAAATAATTTCTAAAATTCTCTTTTATTTTTTTTCAAATGATTTTTTTTCTATTTTTTTTCTATTTTTTATTTATTGTTTTCCTTTTTTATTTGTTTTAATTGGTTTAAAAATAGTTTTTTGACTTTAAAAATTTTGAAAAAAATTTTGTATGCCTTTTATTTTATTTTTGACCTT